AGGCAGCTTTATTAACAATGAAATAAGCACACTAATCCAAACTATTACACTAGCCTTGGTCTGTTGAGAGGACCAAACTCTCCCTAGCCTTCCCTTTACAAAACTTCCTAAAAAACTACTAAAAACAACTGCCTACCCAAACTTTATAAAAGTCCGAGACAACAAAACCTACCCACAAACAATTATAATTGTTTGTCCCTTTTATTTCTCCTAATATATGTTAGAATAATTAGTTGTTGTGTATTGGCTGTGTGTGAGTTGTGTTCCAACCAAGGTGAGTTGTCAAAAGAGTGGCTAGTTAATTTCTTCTTCCTATAAATGAAACCTTAAGATTAAAGAAGAGGCAAGCCCTCTAGAAATATATGTATCCATTTTAATTTTAAGTTGGTATCAGAGCGAGCTGTCCAGAACTATCTAAAGTGTCTGCCACTTTCCACCATTGTCCAATAGTGATTTACTACTTTCTACCTTTATCTGAAACTATCTAGCATTATCAACCACTATTGATGTTTCCTCACTGTCTGCACTGTCCGCAATCATAGGTCCGACAACCATCAGATGTGGATCGTCTCTCAACGCAATGACCAACCCTAATTGTGTCGATGTTCAGTTCTGCTTCACACACCGCCACACACATAATGTTTATGTTCAGAACCGACGCATGTTGTCCGCGCACCACCATCTGCTCATCGGAACACCACTGCATCACCTTCATAGTGTCCTCAAAACCTCCTCTCTCTGTCCTTACCCTTGAAACTTTATTTTAGTATAGTCCAGTAGCCACCCTTGTGGAAAGTCATATATTTTTCTGTTTTGCGTGGATAATTTTTGTTTCCTTGACCAAAAATGGCAACTGGCAGTGTTATTTCATTATCTGGAAGTCTCTCAATTACTTTCGAGAAACTAGATGGGAAAAATTACCTATCTTGGTCTGCTGCAGTCAAAATGTGGTTTCTTAGCCAAGGATATTATGACCACTTTGAGCAAGATGGAAGCCATGTGCCTGCCGAGAAAGTTGATAAGTGGAAACAAACAAATTTCCAGTTGTGTACCCTGTTATGGCAATCAGTAAAACCAAGACTCCTTATATCCTTGAGAACTTTCAGAATTTGTCACTCTTTTTGGAAGAAATCTCAAAGCATCTATGACAACGACATTCAACGTCTTTATGATACGGCAAACAAGCTTGCATCTCTTAGAATGATAAACCGTGATATGGTGTCTTTAATGACTGAAGCTCAATCTACGGTTGAAGAGCTTTGGATTTTTTGGAAGTGGAATCTTTGGAGGATATCAAGAAGAGGTTGGACAAGTATTATATGGTGATGATTCTTCGGGCTCTACATCTCGACTTTGCTCATATTAGAGATAAACTTCTAACCAGTCATGAAGTTCCCTCCATGGAAACCTTGACCACACGCCTTCTTCGAGTCCAGATGCCTCAAACTCAAAAAGCTCATGAAGTAGTAGAACCATCTATCATGGTTGCCACGCAACGAAGTGTAGAACGTGACACTAGAGGAGGACATGGAGGTCGAGGGCAAGGTTAGTGCACATATTACAAAAGAATGGGTCACACCCAAGAGAACTGCTACTTCCTTAATAGTTTTCCTCCCAAAACAGCTAACATCTCTCTGGCTGAATCTTCTAAATTCAAAGTTCACTAAGGATGAATATCAGGAGTATCTACGATTAAAATCCAACAGCATGGCACAAACATCTCATCCTCCAAGTACACCAATAGCTTGCAATTCTCAAACCCTAGAAGGTCAAAATTAATGGATAGTTGACTCGGGTGCTTCTGATCATATCTCTGGTAATACCTATTTGTTCTCAACCATTTCTTTTCAAGAAACACCTCAATTCATAACCCTTGCAAATGGTTCTAAAGTTTCTCCAAAGGGAGTCGATTAAGCCTCCATGTCTTTCTCTCTAAATCTCAAATTTGTCCTATTTGTCCCTAGCTCCTTTCAATTTGATTTCCTTAAATTAGTTAACCAAATCGTTAAATTGTTCAATAACCTTTGATAACAAATCTTTTGTTATATAAGACTGTGGGTCGGGGAGAGAGATTGTAGAAGGATATGAAATTAGAGGACTATACCATTTATCTCTTCCACATGTGTCATGTGTTACAGCTCCTAGTCCTAAAATGTTACATGATCGGTTTGGTAATCCCATTTGTTGAAATTCAAAAAAAAAATGTTTTCGGACCTTAGTAGTATCAAGACTTTAGAATGTGAGTCATGTCAACTAGGAAAACATGTTAGATCTTCCTTCCTAAAAAGGTCACAATCAACGTGTGATTCTAGTTTTTCTATTATTCATTCTGATACCAGGGGACCTAGTCACGTCTTATGTTTTGGTTTTAGGTTTTTTGTTATGTACATTGATGAATATTCAAGATGCACTTGGGTTTATTTATGAAACATCATTTTGAATTGATATCCATCTTCACCTCCTTTCTGAATGAAGTCAAGAATCAATTCGGTCAAGTCATCAAAATCCTAAGTGACAATGCCAAAGAATACTTCTCATCCACTTTTTCTGCAGTTTTAAGTTCCTATGGTATATTGCATTAGTCCACCTATCCCCATACACCACAGCAAAATGGTTAGCAGAAAGGAAAAAAATAAGCACTTGGTTGAAACTGCTGGTCATCACTTCCTATCACGACTCCCGAAGATGATTCAAGGTGGCCTCTTGCTCTTAGAAAAAGTACTTGTTCCACTCGCAACCCACATCCCATTTATAGCTTTCTTAGCTATCACAAATTATTGCCTTCCTTTGGTTCTCTTGTATCTTCAGTGTCTTCTATAGATATACCCAAAAATGTGAAAGAAGCACTTGATCATCGTGGATGGAGACAAGCTATGATTGTAGAAATCCAAACTCTTGATCACAATAAAACTTGGAAATTGGTGCCCCTTCCACCATGCAAAAAGGCAATTGATTCTCTATGGGTGTATGCGGTTAAAATTGACTCTGATGGTAAAATTGATTGCCTCAAAGCTCGGTTAATTGCAATAGAATACACTCAAGTTTATGACCTTGATTATTGTTACACTTTCTCTCTCGTGGCCAAGATGACTATCATTCGTCTACTCTTTGCAATGGCAGCAATTCATAACTAGCCACTTCATCAACTAGATATAAAAAATGTCTTCCTCCATGATGATCTTGAAGAAGTTTATATGGAACAACCTACCAAATTTGTTACTCAGAGGGAGTGTGGTATGGTATGCAAGTTGCATCGCTATTTATATGGCTTCAAGCAGTCACCACTTGCTTAGTTTGGAAAATTCAGCTTTTTGTTCAACAATTTGGCCTAAAACGCAGTGAAGCAGATCATTCACTTTTTTACCATCATACATCTCTCATGAAATGCGTTTACTTAATAGTATATGCTCATGATATAGTTATCACAGGAAATGATACTGTTGGAATATCTCAACTGAAGAAACACTTATGTAGGCATTTTCAAACCAAGGATTTTGGAAGCCTCAAATACTTCTTGGGCACTGAAGTAGCTTAGTCAAAAAATGAAGTTGTAGTCTACCAAAGGAAGTATGCTCTTGATATATTACAAGAAATAGGTATGATTGATTCTACACGGGTAGACGGTCCTATGGACCTAAATCAAAAATTAACTACAAAAGAAGGTGAATTATTCTTCAATCCAAATATTGGAGACTGGTTGGAAAAATGATTTATCTCACTATTACAAGACCGGATCTATCTTTTGCAGTTGGAGTGGCTAGTCAATTCATGCAGGCTCCATGTCTTGGCCATTGGAATGCTATCATTCGTATTCTAAGGTACCTCAAAAAGGCTCCTAGGTAAGGGTTGTTATATGAAGATAAAGGAAGTATTCAAGTCTCTGGGTATTCTGATGCAGATTAGGCAGGCTCGTCTATTGATAGGCAGTCTACTATTGGATATTGTGTTCTCCATGGAGGAAACATCATTTCATGAAAGAGTAAGAAACAAAATGTAGTAGCTCGATCAACAGCCGAAGTTAAATATATGGTTATGGCATCACTATCAAGTGAACTTAAATGGGTAAAGCAATTCCTTCAAAAGCTCAACTTATGTAACATTCAAACTATGAAGATGTATTGCAATAACCAAACTGCTCTCCACATTGCATCAAATACAATATTCCATGAGAGGACTNCAAAAAGGCTCCTAGGTAAGGGTTGTTATATGAAGATAAAGGAAGTATTCAAGTCTCTGGGTATTCTGATGCAGATTAGGCAGGCTCGTCTATTGATAGGCAGTCTACTATTGGATATTGTGTTCTCCATGGAGGAAACATCATTTCATGAAAGAGTAAGAAACAAAATGTAGTAGCTCGATCAACAGCCGAAGTTAAATATATGGTTATGGCATCACTATCAAGTGAACTTAAATGGGTAAAGCAATTCCTTCAAAAGCTCAACTTATGTAACATTCAAACTATGAAGATGTATTGCAATAACCAAACTGCTCTCCACATTGCATCAAATACAATATTCCATGAGAGGACTAAACACATAAAAATTGACTACCATTTTGTTCGGGAAAAGTTATTGTCCAAAGGAAATTTGTACTGAGCTTGTTGGGTCAAATGACCAACTTGCAGATATGTTAACTAAGTAGGAGGACCTCGAATTGAATTCATTAGTTCCAAGCTTAGTACATACAATTTGTATGCTCCAACTTGAGGGAAAGTGTTAGAATAATCAGTTGTTGTGTGTGAGCTATGTATAAGATGTGTATGAGTTGTGTTTAAGTGTGTTCCAACTAGGGTGAGTTGTCAAAAGTGTGGCTGGTTACTTTCTTCTTCCTATAAATGTAACCTTAAGATTAGAGAAGAGGCAAGCCCTGTAGAAATATATGTATCCATTTTAATTTCAAGTATATAAACATTTCCCTTGAACCTACATAAACTTACTAAAACTAAATAACTAAAGCTGGTAAAATTTGAGGTGTTAAAAAAGTCTCGGTACAATTAGCACCTGCAGCAATAGTTGCTTCATGAACAACTCTATCAATCTCATCAGTCGTCACACCAGGCTGAATAATACGTGCAGCAGCATCCAAAACCTCCCTCGCAATCTACATAGTATAAATCAATTAACCGTCTTGAGACACTAAAGTTTACACACACACAGTAGAAAATAAACAACTATTTAAAAGACCTACCATCACCAAAGTTTACTCGCATTAAACAGCTCCTCAATTTGTTATTCAATTCAAAACGTGATTTTTTAAGTATTTTTTCTATTTTCTAACAAATATGAAAAAAATCAGAAAAACAGTCATCCTACTATCCAGTATACTGCTATCCCATTTTAAGATATGATAGTCTGCTGTTCTGCACCACTACCTGTGATTTATAGCTATGATAGAGATGGAAGACGGGCAAAAATATCTTCCTTTTAAAGAATCTACAGAGGCAAAGAGTGGCAAGGAACTTACCCGACAAGTTTCCCTCATTCTCTCAATTTGATCTGGAGTTTTAACCTACATATTAATACAAGAATGTAGAATAAAAATAAAATGTCCAATTTGATCTTTCATTTCATAATAAATCATCTACTCGTGTATTGCAAAATTATCCACCTCAACAGTATGCTGCAGACCACTATTGGGCTCGAGTTTTGGGATTCCCTAGAACAAATACAAATAAAAACGATTCAACAACCTATGGACCCTCCTCTAAGTAATAAAAAGATAACTTCCAACGGTATTTAAAGAAAATAAGTTAAACCAGATAACTTACATCATCAGCCCAGTCAGGTTTATCAATTTGACCTGGGACAATCCGTTTACTAGAAATGGGATATGGCCGCAGTGATCTTGCAAGAGCAAAAATTAAATTTTAGTTTCAACAAATAAACAAGTAATAAGCACATTAAGCTCAAAAAATAAGAATAATGAAAAGGAGAACAATGAACAATCACAAAAGGCAACAGAAATGAAAAAACAGAAAATACTACTACTGATAATGAACACAACATCTTGTATTAATTAAATTGTGGGGATTTGAAAGTTGAGTACGAAGATATTCAAAGCCCTACCCAGTCCAATCAAAGTAAGGAAGCTTTGGAGTTCGAGCCTGCCCTCTTTTCAAACAATATAGCCAACCTTCACCAACTGAGCCTGAATTTTGTGTGTCAGGTGGGGATAGTTTTGCCTTAAGATGCACTGATTTGTGCGAGCTCCACGAAGACTTGAAACATTCCTGAGAGCTGTCAAAAGATATCAAAATTGGCTCGAGTATAAAGGATATAAAGACTGAGAAATAAATTTCAGCAATAGTAAATATCTAGTAATTCACTGTTCTCTCATTAGCAACCATGCTCAACCCCAATTTCTACATGGTTCCATTTGGAGCAACAATGCCATTCACTAAATCTCCAATGCCTAATAACTAAATCAATCTTCTATGGATATTAAATCAGATCAAACACAACTTTTTATATTACAATGGTCAAAAGGTATTACTAGTCAGCACCAACTCATGCATGTTGCACTTGTAAACTAATAGAATTCTAAATTTCACCAGTGTGGTTTAGTGCAACAGCTGTACTCGATCAAATGGCAGGCTGAATAGCAACTACAGCAGACGCTAGTTGTTGAATTCAGAAATGCCCATTAAGAACAGAGGTGGCAGATTTTAAAGGGGCTAATTTTTGGGTTTCAATTTCCAAATACGAAATCTACAGCCATAATGGTTGTAAAAATGATGGAGACAACTTGGATTTAGAAGATGCTTGATAATTTCTATCTAGAAAACTTGTATTACACTTTTCTGGGTATTTGCTTGTATGCTTTATTTAAGACATCAATGCTTTGTATTGTCACCAATGGAAGTCGTGAATCAAGCACTTTTTATCATTTTGGAAAACTTTTAAGTATTAGTATGCATCATATAAATATAAACTACATAAAAAATATTCAGAACAGCCGCTATCTCACTCTAGTGGTTTTGGGGCTAGATGCTATGTGGTATGTAAAACACATATGGCATTCTATGGTAAACATAGAATACTGGTATTATACTCTATGAAGATTATGGAGACAATGAGCATTCTATAGGAGCCAGAACAGCCAATTATCTCTTTCAAATATTTAAAGAACTTAAGTCTTGTGTAGAATCATTGCCTAAAACTAAACAGAAAAAAGACCTTCACAACTCCCGTACATTTAGTCTAAAAGATTTTGTTAGGAAACCAGAATTGGAAAGAGAAAGAAGAGTAATCTTTTTTATTGGAAAGACTAAATAAAAAGAATACAAAAATAGGAGAGCCCTCTCTCCTCCAAGGGTTTCCCCTTCAAACAAGGTGCTAATGATCAAGATTGTCAAACTCGAGAGTTTACGTAAACTCAAAGGGTAACGAAAAAGGTTAAAGATCAAGGTAACGATCAAGGTTAGTAACCACAGCTCTAGTTCTGGCATAACCAAACTTCTCAAAAACATTCCATGTGGAATGTGACGCATCAGGAAAGGGTATAGGAGATGATATATTTTAAAACAAATACAATGCTAAAGAGAAAGAAGAGTAATCTTTTTTATTGGAAAGACTAAATAAAAAGAATACAAAAATAGGAGAGCCCTCTCTCCTCCAAGGGTTTCCCCTTCAAACAAGGTGCTAATGATCAAGATTGTCAAACTCGAGAGTTTACGTAAACTCATGATGGTAACGATCAAGGTTAGTGATCAAGGTTAGTAACCACAGCTCTAGTTCTGGAGTAACCAAACTTCTCAAAAACATTCCATGTGGAATGTGACGCATCAGGAAAGGGTATAGGAGTTGTTCTATCTTAGAACAAATCCTATACCCGAGAGAAAGAAGAGTAATCTTTTTTATTGGAAAGACTAAATAAAAAGAATACAAAAATAGGAGAGCCCTCTCTCCTCCAAGGGTTTCCCCTTCAAACAAGGTGGTAATGATCAAGATTGTCAAACTCGAGAGTTTATGTAAACTCGAGAGTTTACGTAAACTCCAGAATATGATGGTAACGATCAAGGTTAGTAACCACAGCTCTAGTTCTGGCATAACCAAACTTCTCAAAAACATTCCATGTGGAATGTGACGCATCAGGAAAGGGTATAGGAGTTGTTCTATCTTAGAACAAAAGGTCGATTGCCTACTTTAGCAAGGCATTGTTAGAAGCATCCCTCACCAAATCAGTTTATGAGAAGGAGTTGATGGCTCTTGTGTTGGACATCCAACATTGGCACCCTTATCTTTTGGGTCAGCTATTCAAAGTCCATACAAACCAAAGGAGTCTAAAATATCTGTTAGAGCAACGTATCACGACTCAAAACCAGCAAAATTGGCTAGCCAAGCTGATGGGGTACAAGTTTGACATTGTTTACAAGACAGGGGCATCCAATCGTGTAGTTGATGGTTTATCGAGAAAAGGGGAGGAATTGGAGGAAGAAGATAAGGTCTTGAAGATGATTACCAAGCCATTGGCCAGGGTTTCAAGAAGTAGTGCAGGAGGTGGAGGGTGATGCAAGCTTGAAGAAGATTATAGAAGTGAAAGCAGATCCGAATTCCCACTCTGCTTATACACTAGAGAATGGGAAGTTGCATTTTAAGGGAAGGCTAGTACTCTTGGCCATGTCTGGGTGGATACCGAAGCTATTAGCAAAATTTCATAACAAGGCTACAGGGGGCATTCTGGAGTGAATAGAACATATAGGAGGATTGCCCAATCTCTCCAATGGGTGGGCATGAAGAAGATAGTGACAGACTATGTGGTTGCGTGTTTAGTCTGTCAACAACATAAGTATCTAGCTTCTTGTCCCTAGGGACTTGTTCAACCCTTACCTATTCCTAAGGGGGAGGAGGTTAGGAAGAAGGTTCAAAATAAGAAGTATTGATAAGACCTTTAAGGTGTATGTTAGGAAGAAGGTTCAAAATAAGAAATTTCATGATAGTTAATGGTGGTTGGGAAGTTTAGGGCAGTTTAGGGGTGGTTAAAGGTAGTTATTCAGTTTAATAAGGGTTATCTTTTAAGGAGGAGAATGTTCCTTCTGGTGGGTGTGTTATATTTTCTTAAGTTTGGACAGGGTTTATCTTGTATGAAGAGATTTATTTCCCTTGGATGCTATTGAATGTTCCCTTAATTACGTTTTCCATTAATGTTAATGTGAACTTATGTTGAATTGTCAGTTTTGAGTGTTTAATCCTAATATATGATCTATAGATTAGTTAGTTAGTAGTGTGAAGGGGTAAATACTATAAAGAGGAGGTATTTTGTAAAGGGGAGTAGTTAGTGATTTTGTACATTTGGTATAGTCTGGATAATTGTTCTAGTGGAGGTAGAGAGGCTTCCTTGGGGTGATTCTTTGTACACTGAATTCTTTCATACATCAATAAAATACATACTATTCAGTTCTGTTTGTGTGTTCTTGAGAGAAAGAGAGGGTTGATCAACTTCTTGACTAAAGAAGTTTATCAAGTGGAAGGAGGTGAGCCCAGGAGACGAGACGCTCGAGTGCGATGACAGGCACGACGGTAAGCTCGAACTAGGCGTGACGACAACCATGAATAGAGCGCAAAGAGATTGCAAACAAGCACGACAACGACCTGAAGGAGGTGAGGCGATGGCGAATGAGATGGCCATAGAGAGACCGTGTCAATCAGGACATGAAACCCTAAACCCAAAATGAGCTTGTTTTTCTTAATTTTTTCCCTTTTCAAGCTTGCAAAATCGCTCCAAAATCACGATTTTACATGAAACTTCTAGTTTACAAGTCCGTTCCATCGAGTTTACTTAAAAAACAAGTTTACTTCCGAGTTAACTCGAAAGCAAGGTCTAGAAAAAAAGACTGAAAAGAATACAAAATTAGGAGAGCCCTCTCTCCTCCAAAGGTTTCCCCTTCACACAGGATGGTAATGATCCTGTCAACAATTCTCTAAACATCCCCTACCTACACCCCCCAAGAATATAAAGTAAGTCTCACTCCACCTAACAATTCAACTAACAACTAATTCCTACTCTGTTTCCTTCTATCCTTCACACATTATACCCAGCCTTAGTGGTTATATCAAATTGTATCATCCATTGAGACTCAATGCATGTTGGGTTTAACATATCTCCCAAAAGAGGTTCCAAGTGAAACGGAAATCTATTTGTCTTTGTTCCCATGTTTTAGATGTGGTTTCCCAAGATTATTGAGAAGCTTGTAGTTATATACAGCTTCCACATGGTTTTTCACTTTTAAACAGTTGTCCAACACACATTATATTTGGTTTGGCAAAAATATAGCAATTAGACACCGGTACAAACACACTACCATCATGACAACAGAACAACAAAGGATCTCGAAATGCAAATATAACAGGTAAAGTAGGGAGAGTCACAAACCAGAAGGCAGAACCTTCACGAGGAAGCTTCAATTCCATGCATTTTGGGCACCTGAGGAAAAAATGAAAAAAAAAGTAAATTAAAAATAACCCCTTTCAAGTTTTCTTTATCATCATCATACCAAACCATAATCACTCAATGGCAACATCACCATAAACAACCCGAAGATTGCTTTTTTCTCACCACTAAATGATCAAAATCACTAGCATATCAATGCAACACTATTGGGTGAAGGAAAAAATAAAAAATTACAAGCTTCCCGCCGCAGCAAGAACAACAACAACTTATTATGCTAAAACCAAGAAACCCTCTTTTAATCAAAGCCAAAAGCTAACACCTTGCCACATATCAATTACAAAAACATCCAATCCAAAACAAAAATAAATTAGAGAAAAAGTGTGGCCACAGTTATTGTTACTAGTGAGGAGCAATAAACCAGAGAGAGATAAAAATAGAGAAGAAAGAGTACTGGAGATTGGCGGGTTTTCCACAGTTAGCGCAAGAGAGGGTGTTTTCCGGCACATTAGATTCATCAGCCATCGATTGCCAAGAGCTTAAAGTTAGGGTTGCTGAGGAGGAACAGAAAATAGAACAATCTACCGAAGAAAGAGGAAAACATTTTATAACTTCGTGTTGGTGAAGCAAAAGTCTGTCTTCCAGTTTGGGCCTAACCTTGTTCTGTTTTCCTACTACGCGTATTGGACCTTCCGCTATTTCTTCCTGCACCTCCTTTCTCTTCCTGCATCCCATAAAACCCATAAATCCTAGATTTTCTTAGGCTAAAAAAGTAAAAATTACCTTATATGTTTTTTTTAAAAGATTAAATATGATTTAAGTCTCTAAACTGTAAAATTAAATTTTATTTTTATTTCAGATTTTAATGTAGTTTGATTTTCAAACTTAAAAAATAAATAGATGTAATGTGTGTTACTTAATGGTGTTAAATATTTGTTGACGTCACAACTAAAATTCCATGCTAACATTTCTACTATTGGCATGTGTATTTTCTAATACATTTTTCATAAACAGGATTTCTTAATCGATTAGTTTTGAAATCTGATGACCCAAATCCGATGACTTTGGCTAGCTTTTGAAATCCACTTTGTTTCCTAAACAGTGCGTATGGCTTAAATAACTACATTAAGCTAAACAAACTTAAACTCTTATATCTGTATGATGTCAAATGAAGAAGAAAATGAACCATTCAAGACTAATGAAAAAGCAAGTAAAATTCTCCACCACACAACAACGAAGCAAAGAGACAAACAGAAAAATGAAAATTTGAACATGAGGGTAGGGGTGCAAAAGAACAGAAAATATTTAAGTAAAAGTAAATGTGATTTGATAAATAATAATTACTTCTTACCTAAGTTTTTTTTTAACATTTTACTCTCTCTTTTTTCTTTTACATTTTACTTTGCCGAAGGAGACAATGATCTACTTGAAAGTGCAGGAAGAAGTACCAAGGAATATTGCTAAAGTTTCAATTGTCCTCATCCGAGCTTAGGACTAATATATATGGATAAAAATCATAAGGCAGACATGCTTTACATTTTTCACATGTGTTAATATATGTTTGGATTGAAATTGAAGAGTATATTTTATTTTACATATATATATATATATATATATATATATATATACACTTTAACTGATCTTTCTTTTAA